ATTGTCAAAGAATAAAAAATAATAATAAAGAAAAAAACAAATAGAAAAAAGAGAAAGAAAAAGAGAGAAAGAGAAGTGCAAGGAACTTCTGTGACTAACATAAGTGGAAGAAGCTGTGCACGATGAACTTGTTGCTTTAAAAGGTTCATCTCGAAAACTACGACGACGATGATACGAAAGAGAAAAAAAAAAACGGAAAAGAAGTAGACAGGAAAACAACGTGCGATCTTGAAATTTAACCCTTTGGAGGAGTGGAGGGGGGAGGTCTTGCAATTTTCATAAGTTTACTCTACCGAGCCCTTAGATTACGACTTTGAGCTTTTGCCCTAATTCAAAGACGTACTCGCAAAACATTTCGAAATTAAAACGTTTCTCCTGTTCCTGTATCGATTATTTTCTCACTTGAACTGGATCAGAGAATATTTCTTTTCCTTTTTTTTTCTTTACGTTCAGAAATATTGCAAGCTCAATCTTGGAGATACTTCAACGAATCTAAAAATTCTTTTCGAGAAGATGAGAAACGAGTTGACGGATATCGAAACTCTGATTCTCACTCACTCACTCACTCACTCACTCTATCTCTATCTGTTTCTATATCTATTTCTTTTTCACTCTCTCATATATATTTCTCACAAATATACCCTATATCTCTTTCTGTTTCTTTCTTTCTTTCTTTCTATCTTCTTTCTCTGGAATATCTTTACGAGCAAGAGTTGCGAGAATACGCGCAGAGAACTCTTTCAAGCCCACTTCCCTTTTCTTGATCCTACTCCCTTTCTTTTTTTTTTTTTTTTACTCTCTCTCTCTCTCCCCTCGACAAAATTCTCGTTTCAGTGATCCCGCCTCGAAACGCGAAGGACACCAGTAATTAAATATTTCTGGTCGGTAATGAATGTCACGAAAAAAATAGTTGCATACCGATGTTACTTAATTAAACTTTTACTTAAAATGTTATTATATTTTGAAAGAAGAGAAGAATAAAATCATAGTAAGATTGAAAGAATAAAATTTATAAAGAAAAATAGAAAATTCATTTGCCAGATCATTTTTCATCATCATCATCATCATCATCTTCATCTTCTTATTATTCTTTTCAAAGCTTTTCAAAGTATTCTCAAAGTAGTTGTTGAAACATTTTTCACGTGAATTTCTTTCCTTCATAATTTTCATTGAACCTTTCACGTTAAGTAAATACCTTCACATACATACACACACACAGACAACATACATAAATGTGTATACGTGTATTTGAAATTCTTAGTTAAGAGAAACTAGAACGGATTATGTTTTCTATGCAGACTATAATATACGATAGTAGAAACTAACCGAAGAAGTATGTATAGTAATTCTGGTAATCTTTTCATATACAAAGTTCAAATCTCTCTCTCTCTCTCTCTCTCTTTCTCTCTCTCTCACTTTCTCATTTCGGAATTCGAATGGAAAAGGGATGAGGTAAAAGAAAAGGTAGAGGAACTTCGAAAGTACGATTTAAGGAAACAACCAAACGTTCTTCCTACACACCTATAGTGTACGGTGTTTCAGTTTTCTGGTTTTATCCTAAGCACGCGATAACTTTATTTTTTCTTGATTTATCCAAGAATGCTAGATTAAAGCGGATGTATACACACACACACACACATACACATATTTACTTATGCACAATACAAACTGACACATATATATATATATATGTAACAGAAAGTGTAATAGGGTACATGAATTGTCGTTTATAAGAAAGAAGGGAAACTGGTCGTTGTAGTCATGCGATCAACTTCGAATAGAAAAAAAGGGATAAAACTGGAAAACATTATTCTTCAAGGGACAATAGGTTTTACGAGGTTTTTACTCGTTATCAGGTTTGCTAACGAGTGAGTTTCTTGGTTAAATTGTTCGTGTTTTTTCACGCCGAATATTTTCTTGTTTATCAACGTTACTTACAAAATCCTTTTTTTTAATCCAAAGGAAAAAGTTAAGATACTGAATATGCT